GGTTCTTTCAATTAATTTCTCTCTACTCATATTTTGCTATAAGCTGTAGAGAAAGCAAATTACTCTTTCCACACTTTGCTTAGAAATCTCAGCTAAATAACACATTTAATCACTTTCAAATTCTACCTTCCACACAACACTAGAGAGCAATTCAGCCAAACATTTTGTCACTTTATAAAGGATAACCTTTTCTCCATTTCCCCATAACCCACTCCTGAGTTCATGAGACCTCACTGAAATGGCTGATAAAGTCCTATTTCTACAGACTTTCCCTTCATGATATTATGTCTTCCCCAAGATGACATAGGCTTTCTCTACAGCTTTCCTCTTTTCTTTCTCAACCCTCACCAGAAATGTCTTAAGCATCCATATTTCTACCAACAGTCCCGTGATGGCAATCTAGGCCTTTTCTAGCAGGCATCTCAAAACTCTTTCAGCCTCTACCCATCTCTGAATTGAAATCCACTTCTATAGTTTTAGAAATTTGTGATGCCACCACCCCGTGCTAGTCACCTTTGATGGCCATAGCTCAGTTAGTTTTTAGTGAGTGCTCTCTTCCTTGGCCTTGCCAATAGCTGCCTTCTTTCTACACCTTCCCATGGTCTTTCTTAGGTGCATGTATGCAGAGAGAGATGGAAAGAATGAGACAGAGAAAGAAACCAAGATCTCTAGCATTTCTTCTTATAAAGTCAGGGCCCCACCTGACCATACTTTATCTTAAATGACTCCTTTAGAGGCCCCATCTCTAAATGCAGCCACATTTGAGGGTTAGGGTTTCCACCATTGGGTTATTGTCAATAATTCTGTGATAAACTTCAGTGAATGAATATCTATTTGAGTTTCTGCATTTTTTTCCTGAATATATCTCTCTCTCTAAAGTGGACTTGCTGGAGCATATGGCAACATTCATTCATTTTTTTCCCCAACAATTTTAAGTGCCTATTCTGCAACAGGCATTGTGCCATATAGGAGATCAAACAATGAACAAGAAAGCTCCTTATCCTTGGATTCTTTATTGTCCTTTCCACACTTTTCAGCCTTCAATTTGTCTATATATCTTTTCAAAATTCATCCTAAACAACTGCCTTTAACATTGATCTCTGACTCCTCTTGGCTTGCAAGGTCAAGACCAATAACCAAAGCAAGAGTCATTAAACATTTCACTTTCCCACATAGAAACTTCCCAAGTTTAAATTGCATGTTTCTCTCTTACAGTGGTGTTCCCCTTTGAATAACATATTTCACGGTTACATTACCTAAGGTCAATTCCTAAAACTTAGGTCCTTAAAACAAAACCACCCAATCTATAGTCTAATAACTTTTTTTTTGTCACAAGAAATCTCATTTATTCTCATGGCTTCACCCACAGACTCATGAAAAGTGTTTAGCCAATACATATTTCACATATTACTGAATGTACATTGACATATTGTTATAAGATATTTTTGCATGAAATTCAGCAAGACAAATCCAAAACTCACTTCAGATGGACTTTGACTATAAATACATAGGATGTTAAAACTAATTCTAACTTTCTATACGATAAACTACACCAGTAAAATGTACCTTTATTTGTCAAATTTATACATGAACTACTAGAACAATACTCACAGTACTTGATAGGTCTCATTGCCAATATACTCGTCCTTCTAAACATTTTTCTTCTCTCTTTAAGCACCTTATCAAACTTAATTTTTACTATTTTATAAATTACCATCTAATAGCTTATTATTCAAGTAAAAAATCTACCACCCAAATGGGGCTTCACTTTTTAAAATAACTTCCCTATTTGTATCCTCTTCATAAACCCACGGGTTTTCTTTATTAATTAAAGACAATTGCTATGAAAATGTATGTAAACAGTAGGTGTCAATCTACAAATCTGAGGAAGCACGCAGAGGTGGTCTTATAAAAAAGGGGCAATGATTTTCATATGATTAAGGAAACTGTAGTTTTGTCCTCTCCCCTTATCTGTTACTTTCTTCATTTTTTGTTTTACTCTACTGTGATATGACTTAAGGGGAATGGGTCAGAAAAATTATTTTAGAAGTATGACATTCTCCTGTAATACCATCAGTTATAAAAAAAAGAATGAGGATTTCTCTCCCTGCTACAAAATAAATTATAAATGGAGTAAGGAAATTAAATAATATACAAAAAAGAGGGCAATAAAATTAATGTTATGATTTGGGTGAGAAAATACCCCTCTGAGTGCAGAGTCCATTAAAAACATAGCACTAAATAATGGAAATATGTGGAAGAATAAAATTAGTTATGAAGGAAGAAAAGAATATTCATTCAGGACCCTAGCAATTATTGGACCTTATTCTGTGTCCAGACATCTTGGCTAACATTTTAGTGGAACAAAAAAGACACATCTCTCTTTTGATAGCATGAACTCGTGGATAACAGGCATGGACACAGTCAAGGTCGACATTGTGGAATGAAACAGAGAAAGATCTATATTTATCTGTATCTTTGTCTACATTTCAGCAATGCTTCCTATTGTTTGTAACCGCAAAGCACTAAATTGTTAAAAAATCTTATTTAACACACGAAGGTTGCAGCTTACATTTAAACTTCTACTTTTCAAGCAGAAATAACATTTCCAATTCTTTAAATTAATTCCTCCTGCCTACCATTGTAAATTAGATGCTGGGCTCAGGTGTATCATCTCTTTCCTTAGAAAGCTTTAGGGTCTTCTGGTAAACACGTTTCAGTACAAGTTTCCTTTTGCTACTTCAGTAGTTTAATAAATTTTCCCCCTTCTTTTTCACTTTCTGTGTTCATCTTTCATATATAAAATATCATAACAATTTATATGTATAGTATCTTTTTTTTCTGTTTATAAGTATTCTTAAATAATCTATGAAAGTAACAAAGGGCTGATTCACTTAAGGTAAATCTTAAGCAATATAAAAGTTAGATTTCTGATAATTATGGAATTATATTCTTGATCTTTCATAATGTAATAATAAATGATGATCCTGTGATTTTAGTGTCCTTCGTGAAGCTTTTTTTTTTTTTCAGTTTTTGGCTGGGACTGGGTTTGAAACTGCCACCTCCAGCATATGGGGCTGGTGCCCTACTCCTTTGAGCCACAGGCTCTGCCCCATTCATGAAGCTTTTTTTGTTTCCATTTTATCTTTGTCATTTGGAAAAATCAGTCATATTGTCAAGGAGGCAATGTTTAGGGATCGGCAGCAGCATGTCAAGAGGGCACCTTCAAGTTTTTATTTTATAATTCAAATTCCCTATTATTAATGAACTTGATTATTTTTCCTTATAATAAAGACAGTTAATATGGATGACTAGGTGTGTTGTTATATTATGCCTTCAAAGGAATGATGGTATATAAACTCAAAAAATCATATCTTATTATTTTTTATCTTTGCTTGCCTGTTTCATGAAAATAACCCAATATCTTTGTACTCCATGATATGATTTCTCTTGCTATTTTTCCAACTAATGCCTATTGCTGGCACAATATTATAATGCATTTGTGTCTAAAAGATCCTATTACATATCATCCTTGAGGGAAATTTTTCTGGCACCACTGTTTTCCAAACAATCCCATCTCATGTAACTGTTTCACATTATAATGCCCTAGACATATTAACTTGTATTTGTACAAGTTAATCTAATTTTCCGCAGTATGTTCATATTATTAGATATCTAGATTTCTTTTCAATAACTCCCAATGAAATAACATTGGCAATATTTAAACAATCAATAGAAATTCAAAAAATTAAGTAACCTCAAACTAAAAGACTTATTGTATTTCCAAATGAGATACAGATACTGTTATAAATTCATTTAGTTGATCTCCTTTGATATTTTTATTCACATATAACTGGATATGTCTAGAACAATAATAAACATTTATAAATATTAAGATACCATCTCCTCTTTGGGCCACTTAGTTGAATCTATTTCATTTTTTATTTTTTATATAAAAACTTATATAAAATGTTTATGAAGACTTTTCTATTCATTCTTAGTTATAGAGCTTCCTCATGTGAAGGCAACACAAACCCAATTCAATATAACTTTCAGAAAAAAATGAAATTTTATTGGAAGATATTAAAGGTAGCTCAGAAAATATCTAAGAAAGAGTTTTTTCATGTTTAATTATCTTACATTATGATCACACTGAATTTTAAAATTTGTGTATGTCTCTTCTAATTTAATACACATAATGAATTCGTAAAAGCATCATTAGCAGTCAGACAAACACAGTTGTTCTATAGTTTTATGTGTTTCTGAAGAGTTGTTTAAAGACATCCCAAACTATAACTTAGTCTGACGTAGGTAGCAAATAATTCAAAAGTTTAATTTGTTATCTTGATGTATCGACTTTTAAAAGCATTTGATCTTATAGATTGTCTATAAAATAAGAGAAATGTTAAATATTATTTATTTGACATTACACATAAAATACACTAAAATGCCTTTCAATAAATAGAAGACAGCATTTTAGTAGACCCAGGGAAAGTAGACTGGCCCAGTGAAGATTGAAAATAAAAGGGAAACATTGATGCCTTTTCTCCAGCCCTCATCCTTAACAGACTCATAAGCACCAGTTAAAACACCAGTGAGTCTTGTTTGGGTCTGAGACAGTGAAGGGATTTCCCCAGTATTTAAATATATTCAAATAACCAGTTATATAAATCTTAATATAAAACCAATATTCAATAGGTTTGGGGATGGCAATCTACTACCTTTGTGAAAAGTTGAACATCACTAATTAATCATATCTTCAGAAAAGGAAAACAGTGATTACATTTAATGAACTGGAATCATTATCAAAATTTAAAAAAAGATCATATTCATGTAAACCACAAGTCAGTCTTGGTTAAATTAGGACTGTCCTACAAAAATATCCTGATCACTCATTCGTAATCTGAATTCTGGTATATGAGATCAAACAAATTACGGTACACACACAAAAAGCCGTGAGATATTTCTTTTTTTGTGATAAATAAGGCAGGGGCTAAATATTACTCATTAGTAGTTTTTTTGAGATAAGCTATCAAGTCTGCCCTTTCTTCCTTCTTCTTAATGCAGGTGAAGATTTTTTTTTCCCCCCCAGGGATGTACTTCTTGGGATTCCCCAAATACTCCATCAGTGTGTCCTCTCCCCATGTTATGCCTTTGTTCTTATAGGCCTGTGTGTAAGAGAAGCCAGTTGCCTGACCCGTCTTCCACCCAAAGATACCACGGAGATTTGGCCCAGTCTTGTGCTTGCCTCCCTTTTCCACAGTGTGGTACTGGGCACACTTCTGAACCAAAATTTTATTGCCTTTCTCAATATCATTACCCATATTTAATCCTCTCTTTGGTTGCTGCCAGTACGAAAATTCTGGGCTGGAAGGCAGAAGCCCTGGTCTCTAAGTCCTCTAAGAAAAATTTAAATAGAAAAACTTCAAAAATAAAGTCATCCACCATTATGTTAGCAACAGGATACTATAATCCTTCAACCTGAAGTTTTATTATGAAGATAACTCAGGTTGCAACTTTTCATTTCTGTCTCTCAATGAAAATTCTCAATGAAATTTTCAATAAAGAAAAACTTCTGCCTACCCAAGTTTGCTTAACTACCTTTATCTAATTAAACATGACCAATTAAGCATCAACTGAGATGGAAGAGTTATTTGAAATGTGAACGTATAGCCAGTAAAGTTCTACTCCTTTGGAAAAGTATATGAGAGTTGGCCAGTGCAGTGGCTCCTGCCTGTAATCCTAGCCCTTTGGGAGGCTGAGGCAGGTAGATTGATTCAACACAGGAGTTTGAGACAAGACTGAACAAGAATTAGACCCTATCTCTACTAAAAAAAAAAACAAAAAAACAAAAAAAAACAACTAGCTGGGCATCTTGGCATGTGTCCTTAGTTCCAGCCACTTAGGAGGCTGAAAGAAGAGGATCACTAGAGCCCAGAAGTCTTAGGTTGCTGTGAGCTGTGACTCCATAGCACTCTAACCTGGGGCAACAGAGTGAGACTCTGTCTCAAAAAAAAAAATTGTATAAAGTGTCAGAGAAGAGCTCTCAGCAGCATCACATTACCAGGCACCCGCAACTCTCTGTATCCCATCATAAACATACTGAACACTTTTTTTGATCCAACAGCTGAGCAAATAGCAATGAAAGAAACTCTCATTATCTTAAATAATTCTAAAATTAACAGAACATAAATGAGTGACCTGATAATTAAACATGATAATTATTATACTAATTGCTTTGAAAGAATGGTGACAGAGTCTGGTTGGGGTCTTAAGTGTCCTTTAGATAATTTTGGTAAAGAGAGGCACCTCTGGGAAATCAACATTAAGAGACGTGAACTATAATAATCCTAGAATAAAATATTGGAAAAACTCTTATTGCTATCAGCTTAGGCAAAGAATTCATAAAGAAGATCTCCAAAGAAATGACAGGAACAATAAAAATAAATAACTGTGACCTGATAAAATTGAGAAGTTTCCACACAGCCAAGGACACAATCAAAAGAACAAATAGACAACTCACAGAGTGGGAAAAAAATATTTTCATGCTATATATCTGATAAAGGAATGATAACCAGAATCTACAAAGAATTCAAGCAAGTCAGCAAGAAACAACCAAACAACCCCATAAAACGGGGAGAAAAGACATGAGCAGAAACTTTTCAAATGAAGATAGACTAATGCCCAACTAACTCATGAAAAAATGCTGAACATCTCCAATCATTAGGGAAATGCAAATCAAAACCACAATAAGATAATCACCTAAGTCCAATGAGAATGGCTCATATTGAGAAGTTCCCGAACAACAGATCTTGGTATGGATGCAGAGTAAAATGGCTTATACACTGTTGGTGGGACTAAAATCTAGTAAACTAAAATCTGTGGAAAATAATATGGAGATATCTCAAAGAACCTAAAGTAGATCTACAATTTGACCTAGCAATCTCCCTTCTGGGTCTATAGCCAAAGGAAAAAAAAGGTTATTTTATCAAAAGGACAAGTGAACACAAATGTTTATGGCAGCACAATTCACAATCACAAAGATGTGAAAACAACCCAAGTTCCCATCAATACATGAATGAATTAAAAAATGTGGTCTATGCATACTATACAGTATTACTCAGCCATAAGGGAAATGGTGAGCTAGTATCTTTTGTGGCAACCTAGGTGTAACTGGAGACCATTCTTCTAAGTGAATTATCACAAGAATGGAAAATCAACATTACATGCACTCAATATTAAATTAGAACTAGTTGATCAACACTTAGGTGCACATATGGAAGTAAATCTCAATGAAAACCTGGGGGTGGGTGGGTAAATTCACACCTATTGGGTAAGATGCACACTGTCTGGGTGTGGGGAAGGGTCAAGCTTATAACCTTGACTTAAATTGTGAAAAAAACTAGTATATAAACAAAACACATATACCCCCTAATATTCTGAAATTTTTTAAATGATCATTTTCTTTTAAATAAAAGAGACATAATGATAAGAGGGAGCTAGTCCAAGAGGGAAGACATTTTCCAGCAAAGGAAATAGCAAGTAAAGAGGCTGAGAGGAGAGAGAGTAAATTGTGTTTGATCCCAGAAAGGAGTCACTGCCTACAGGTGCATGAATGCCAAAATTGTAATAGAAAGCTTGAAGAGGGGGTGGAAGGAAGATTGCTTAAGAACCATAAGTTTATATAAAAAAATTTAGCTATAAATCTATTGAAATAGGCATCCAGGGAAAAGCTTGAATCATGCTTGGGCGAGAAGGGAGGACAGATTTTAATAGTGTATATTTCCTATAGTGTAGAAAATGGATTAGTGTCATAAAAGAAAATAAATTTTATATATATATATATATATTTATAGTCTGATTATGAGATAGTAATGGCTTTATCTAGGGAGGATCAACCAAACAAAAGCAAAATTTATTTTGTAAGAATAAATTACAGAAATTTGTATTTTAGAACTGGCAAATGAAGAGGATAAAAGAATCAAGATTAATGCCCAGATGAGTGGTGAATGACTTTCTTTGCAGCAGTGAGGAAGATTTCCTAGAAACGTGTCATTTTTCATCAGAAAAGGCTTTACTCATAGTTTAAATGAGGAGCGCATTACCAAGATTCTCTGTTTTCCAGAATCTGCTCCACTTTCTGAATGTTGATTACATTCTCAGAAAGGTTACCCTCTTTGTTCTCAAGATAAAAACCAGCAGTTTTGGAGTTTATTGCCCTCTCATTCTGAGCAGGAAAAGTGATAAATGTTATCTTTCTCATGGCTTATCAAAGTTCTGGGATTGAATTCTATTTTTTTTCTGGTTTATCTGGGTTTGGTTATACATCTATTTCTGACCAATTACTATGGCTAGAAACGTTGTCTACACTGAATGCCTTTAGCTTTCCTAGGGCTTGAAACCAATGAATGCAGTCTTAAGTATTCTGAGATACTCACTCAATGATAATGGGAGTACAGCAATGAGAAAATAAAACCAAGAAGAATAACAGAGCCCTACCATTCTATTCAGTTATCTTACTGCAAAGCTGTGAAATACAGAATGCTACCAAGAAAAAGTTAAACATAAATAAAACTGATAAGAACAGATACTACAATTGATCTTAGCCAAAAGGTCGATATATTTGCACCAGAATGTTTATTGCAGCCCAATTCATAATTGCTAGGTCTTGGAAGAAGCCCAAGTGCCCATTGCTCAAGAATGGATCAATACATTGTGGTATATGTACACCATGGAATACTATGCAGCCCTAAAAAAGAATGGAGACTTTACCTCCTTCATGTTTACATGGATGGAGCTGGAAAATATTCTTCTTAGCAAAGTATTTCAAGAATGGAAGAAAAAGTACCCAATGTACTCAGCCCTACTATGAAACTAATTTATAGCTTTCATAGGAAAGCTATAACCCAATTATAGCCCAAGAATATGGGGAGGGGGGAGAGGGGCGGAGGGAGGATGATTGGTGGGATCACGCCTATGGTTCATCTTACAGGGTAAATGTGAATCTTTCTAAATGTAGAATATAAATGTCTTAACACAATAACTAAGAAAATAACATGAACTCTATGTTAATCAGTTTGATGAAAATATTTCAAATTGCATATAAAAACAGCATACTGTACCCCATGACTTTTTCAAAGTATACAGCTATGATTTAATAAGAAAAAAAATAAAAAGAAGAATGGCTGCTATAGTTATTCTACAAATGATGGCCACATTTTCTTTTAACAAATTATATTTACTTTGCACTGTAATAAACTAATCTAGAGAAAAAGATAAAAACCAATTCTACAGGTATTATCGAACACATTTATTTTTAACTTGTCAATGAGAATAAAAAGTAGATTACCTCTTTTGAGGAGGGAAATTCTCTAGAGTTGTATGTAAAGTTTATATGCTTTAACTTTATAATACTAATCAACAGTGTTTAATTCAGTGAACTTTGGTATTCAAATGTATAATTTTAGTTTATGAGTTTTCTGATTTATAATCATTTTTTAAAATTTTTTTCCCTAAAGAGTTTAATTTTATTTTCCTTTCTTTTTAGTTTTAGACATTACTGAATCTCCAAGATGGCATATGATGCACACGATGGCACATTTATCTCACATTTCTTCTCTTTTGGGTTTATTATTATTATTATTTCAGAATAGCATAAGTGTACATAAAACTAGGTTACATTGTTTGCATTTCTTAGGAAAAGTAGGCATTGTACTTGAGTTCTTCACCCAGGAGGCATGCCAAATACCCCCACATTGTACCTGTTAGGTGGGAGCTTAATGAGGCCCCTTCCTCCCCTTTTCCTCCTCTCCCCTACATGAATTTGTGTTTTCCTCTCACATGGGCCTGTAGTTCTTCATCTACTAGTTTCAAGTTAGCATTGAGTACATGGATGCTTGTTTTTCCATTCTTGAGATACTTTACTAAGGAGAATACTCTTCAACTCCATCCAGGTAAATATAAAAGATATAGAAGTCTCCATCTTTTTGTGGCCAAATAGTATTCCGTGGTCCACATGTACCACAGTGTATTAATCCGTTCATGGGTTGTTGGGCACTTGGGTTGTTTCCACATCTTTGCAACTCAGGCTGCCATTGAGCCAGAGTTTACATCCAAGTAAAAATATGCTTGTGGCAAAATGAGTTTTTTTCCTTCTGGGTAGATACCTAGTAATAAGATTGCAGTGTCAAATGGAAGGTCTATGTTAGTTCATTAAGGATTCTCCATGCTTCTTTTCAAAAAGGCTGTATTAGTTTGCAGTCCCACCAATGGTGTATAAAAGTTTCCTTTTCTCTGCACCCATGCCAGTGTCTGTGCTTTAAGA